CTATCTGCTTTATGAGAAAAAATATTTCATAGAAGACTTTTACAGCACTTCTGCCAATTCATCTTTGACTGAGAAACTCAGAAATTTGACCTAAATCATCATACTTGAAAATCTTATACAAAACTTCTTCGAATTTTATTTATCTTCAATTTTATTGGTCAAACTGTATGTTTAGGACTTTTCTATTAACTTAATAACTGATTTCACCGACTCACTGCTCATTGCTTTTTTTCTGAATGTTTTCAGATTATCCAGCTATCAGAACAACTTCTAACTAGAAATTTAATCCAACAAGAGGACCGTTATCTAAAAGCCAACAAACTGTAAATATCAACAATTTCTGAATCAAGTAACAAATGTCCTAAACCACACTATAAATAGTCACAGCCATCTGTCTGATTTGCCCCTTCTCCTCATTGCTTAAACTTGTCTATCTCCAAGGACACAATCTTACCACGTAGCATGCCTGGTTTCATCGCCTGCCTCTTGCAGCAGAAAAGCAGCAGCAAGGGGCAAGATCCCCATCCGTGACCCCCCCCAGAGAGCTAACATTACTAAATCTGACTTCCATACCCGATCTCAAGTGCTTATCTATTACTTCCATCACATTCCTTCTATTACAGCTGTTTGCTATCATTTAACCACATTTTATCTCATTTCATTATCTCCTTCCCTATCATTTGGGTGGTGTTTTCTTGTTCTTTTGGCACTGTCTTACAAGGACTATTTTTAACAAAGCTGTAGAAACACAAGCACATTGTATCCACCCATTCTCCCTAATTTCCTTGCAAACCTTTTCAAAGGAAAGCTTACCCAGGAAAAATAATTTTCATGTAATGCTATCAGGTCCCACCACTCGCATGGAGTCTACTACTCCAAAGAAACAAGTTACTGGTTAGAGGAAATGAAAATTTCAGCAGTGATGAGGACAAAAGCTAGAAAATTCCTTTGCAGGACGGGGGGTTGTCCATAAACACAGTTACAGCACAGCAGTTTGTTGCAATTTAGACCATTTGTGAAATGCGGAGAAACGCCAGTATCTGCAAATCTGCACTTTTGCCAGAAAAATGTTTGTCAGAAGCAAAACTTTCCACAGCAACATATGCATCGCTTGCAAAGACAACATTTCTAGCCAAAACAAAAGCCACACGCACACCCACCCACCCACACACACCTTCCAAGCTCATCCAGCCTTGTTGCTTGCTGGGACAAGGAGGTGCATTGCAGCACTCGGCTCTGCGGGGTCCCAGCCCCCGGGGCAGAGTCCCCATTCTCCCCCAGGGGTGACAGAAGGCTAATTTAAAGGGAAATAACATCCGAAAAAGACAGTCACTTCCAACCAGTCAAAAGACCCATGGTTAGGGCAAGACACCAGTATGGGAGGCAGTTCACCCCAGCTTGCCTCAAGCAAAGGTATGGATTTCAGTGCCCTGCACATGCATTTGATCAAACCCTTTGCTATTTTCGGATGGGCTTGTCCAACACATAATGACAACTACGAAATGTCTCTGTGTCAGTCCGGAAAAATGCAGAACAAAAAAAACCTGAAGTTTAAAACTTGCAGAACAGGAAACCCCGTCTTGTCAACTCTCCCAAGCAGCTGCTAGAAGAGCCTAAGAAAAGGAAAATCACTAATTTCTGAAAAGATATGAAAATAGATTACAGTGCCATAAAGCACTGTTTGTGACTACTTAAATGAGGATTAATAACGTTAGTATTCATCCTAGCTAATTACTTCACAGGGCATCATGAAAGTCTATTCTCAGGATAATTTTTCAATCTGCAGATGTCAAAGTACTGTAAACAGAAAGCAAGCATTAAAAGTTAAATATGTAATCAGCAGATAAGCATCTAGGGGAACCCCATATTAATCTGTTTTCATTCTTATTTGATATACACAGCTTACTAATGATGCTTACATAGATATAAATACTGAAGTCCTCTTTTGCCTTGAATGAGGAAGATTATATAATAGAGGCAACAATAATTTCAAAAGGTTCAAGAAAAATAATTAGAAAATCAGAATAAACATGAGTGTTTGCCAGGGAAAGCAAAATACAGGCACTGAGAGGGAGAAAAACCTTGGAAAGGCAGTACTAGACCAGTAACTAAGCACAGATTAAACTGCCCGGCTTGCTAACTCACGTATGTTATGAGCTTGGGTGTGTGCCCCCTGAACAAGCACCACAGAACACAACAGGAAGGTATTCTACCTGACCATCACATTTAGTTCCACACAGTTAATTAGAAGGATAAGAAAAAGAGAAAATAAAAAGCCTAGAGAGGAAGAAAAGGAAGTCAGGAAATCACAATGGGACTAACTTACAAGGTGTTTTTTGGAGAGAGGGTACAGTGGAACTAACCAACAACTACAGAGCAGAAGCCAAGCACAGTAATACTGTGGCATAAGGTATCCCAAGTATTTCAATATTATGGCAGGTAAGGAACCAGAGATAAAAGAAGTCTACCTCTTAGAAACTAGATGAATTGCAGGAAAAAATTATGGGATACTAAGCCCACCACACTAAATAGGTCCTTTGCCCCACAGCTTCCCAAAAGTGGATGGATAATCTAGCACTGGAATTTGCATTGGATAAAAGTACAATGAGGAGCACTGCATTTTTATCTCAGGAGAGAGAAACTGTCCGACCTCAAATTTCCATTATTCTGTTAAACATTTCCAAATATACAGGACAACAATAGGCTTCAGAAGGAGCACAGAGCAGGTCTTTAATTAACACTGCTGATGCTTCAGGTGTACAATTTCTAAAAGCCAGCCTGTAGTTGCTGAACCCCTACCACAAACCTCTCACACGGATCCAAGAACATTCATCTGCAAATGGTCACAGCAGACGTTAACGCCTGATGTCTGTAGAGATAGCCAAGAATTTTGCACCTTCCTGAACATGACTCTGCAGCAGATAAATGCTGTTACAGCTCGTGGCAATGCCAGCCACAGCTAATTATAACTTTATTGAGATGTTTTGGCAAGAGTCAAAGGCATTCAAGCAAACAACTTGTGATGGGGTTATCTGCCACTGATAATACATGACTTCTGCAAATAGTCTAAATACTCCATTTCTTTCCTCCTCTCTCATCCGTAACACCAAGCTTTTGAGGGATACCTGGGGGAGGAGGAAGGATGTCATGCTGCTGAAGGATGTGATAAATATGCAAAGTGCTATTACTTTTAATAAACTGGCAAAATTTCCTAGGTCCTGTAAAACAGATTTTTTTTTCTCCAAAGCAATATTTGATATCTGAATCAGCTATGAATATATGTCAAGATATTTATGGGCCTCCACTGGATATATGACACATGAGGTTATTCCTATACATAGCTAAGCTACTGACTTTCTACACAGTATTAACTGCATGCAGTGAATAGAAATACGATTCAGCTACTAACCAATTTCTCACTGAATCGTGGAAGTTAAAATTAAAATTACTCTCTTGTTCTCATGACCACTTCCTTTAAATTCCTACAAGGGAACTCTCATTAAAGAATGTCACACCTACCACTCTTCTCAGAGTGGTTGTTTGATGTATGTAGAAAGTAGATTTAAAAGACAGAAAAACCAACACAATAACCAAGAAAACAAAGAAGTGGTTTGCATTACTAAACAGACTCGAGACTCTCTTGACAAAGATTGTACTTTCAAGGAAAGCCATAGAAAGAAGAGATGGACAGGAAGAAAGACACAAAGAAAGGAGACCAAAAAAAGAAACCCATAGACACTTTTCAGTCTCAAACATGGCCAAATGAAAACCAAACAGTGGGCTGCTAGCAACATGGCCAGCGTTGAGGCTTAACACAGGGATTTTCTTGTAAACAACACCAAAGAGGAACGAAGGTTGCATTATCGACTGTTATTGGAGTTAATGCAACGTGCCCATCACTGAAGTATCTGACAGCAATGGCTCTAGGCCAGCAGCTCACAAGTTCTTTCACCACAAGATCACTATCAGTCCTTTCATGCATTAATGAGCGTATCAACCCCATCGCTTTTCAAACGAAAACACTACCTAACGTGCCCCCAGTACCGACGGGGATCCAGCCGGTCCCGCGGGCCTGGCCCCTGCGCGGGCGGGGCGGCACCGAGGGCAACCGCGGCACAACGGGGGCGCGCAGCCCGCCGGGGGCTGCTTCACAGGGGTTACGAAACTGGTGACAAGCTGGGGCGGCCGACCCCGAGGGGCGCCCGGAAAACGCCGGGGAGGAGGCGAGAGCGGCACAGCGCGCAGGGCCCGCTCGCCGCCGGGCCGGCCGCCACGTCCCACCCCCCGCCCGGCCGCCCTCGGGGGCAGCGAAATAGCCCGGCCGGCCGCTCCCTCCCGGGGAAGACAAGCCGTGGCAGCGCCCAGGGCGGCCGCTCCCCTCCAACTGCGTAGACGGGGGACACGGAGGGGGAGCGGCCGCCGGAGCCGGGGGTGTGGGGGGGTAGAAGGTCGCGGGTGTTACCTGCAGCTCCGCCCGCTCCGCCTCCCACTCGGCGCGCTCCGCCTCGAAGCGGCCCCACTCGTGCTGCAGGAAATGCAGGATGCCCGGCACGCTGTATTGAGCCCGGGACGCCGAGAGCGGCGCGGCGGCTCCGGAGGCTGAGACTCCCCCTCCTCCGCCGCCTCCTCCCGCTGCCGCCGCCGCGGCCGCCGCTGCCGCCGCCTCGCCGGGCTCCAGCCCCGGCCCGCCCGCCGGCGGCGGCAGCAGGAGGGCGTTGTTATTGTTATTGTTGCTAAAGAAGACGCCGGGCCCCGCTTGCTCGTCCATGGCCGGGCCGGGTCCGCCTGGCTCGCCGCCGCCGCTCCCGCCGCGTCCCGGCAGCAGCAGCAGCAGCAGCAACAACCTGGGCGCGTCCCGCCCGCCGTCACCGCCTGACAGCCGCCCCCGCCCGCTGCTACGGTGGCCCGGCGGGTACAGCGCAGGGCAGCGATTCGCCCCGCCGCCTCGCGCGGCGTCCTGGGAATTGTAGTTCCGCTGGATGGCGGGGAGGATTCCTCGATCGCCGCCCTCTTCCCGCGCCGTCCATAATTCCAGGGATGGAGTTCGGACGGCTGAGCCTCAGCGCCGGGGCGTACGGTCCGGTCGGCTGGGCGGGCGCTGGCGGGAGGGGCAGGGCAGAGGCAGTCCCTGCAGCGGGAGCACAGGTTGATGGTCACCTCCATCTCCGAGCGGGCTTGAAAGGGCTTGGGCTCTCCCGCAGCCCACCCCAGGAACACGGGAAGGGCGGGGGTCCCGCAGCAGTTCCACATGCTCCGGTCGGGCCCTGCCCTGGCAGCTCCGGCTTTTCTGCTTCCTCCGAGTTCTCAGCAGCGCTCGGCCTCTCACTGCCAAAAGCTGGAAACCCTGCCCAAGGCTACAGGGGGCTCTTGGACATCGTTTGCCATGTTGGGAAGGAGAGCGACACACCATTTTTCAGGAATTGCCACGCTGCCTGTTCCGCGAGGAAAGGGAAAACAGGAGCCCGTGGGGCTGAGGGCGGAAGATGTCGGCAGCGCTGCCCGCTCCGCATGGCAGCCGGGCCGAAGCTGCGCTCCCTTTCCAGCCATGTGCGCCCCAGCAGCAGAGCCCTGCTCCGCCGGGCCGTGCCGGGGCCAGCCCCGTGTCGAACCGAGGTGCCGGGTGCCACCGAGGCGCTGCCGCGGGGCTGCCGAGGGCGCCGGCCGCGTGCGCCCTTCGCCGTGCCCCGGGAGCGCCGGGAGCGCCGCTGGCTGCTCCAGCAGCGGTTCCTGTTTCTTTGTGGCCGCTCCGAAACCACAGCCGCCTGCTTCGGAACCCTGCCCGCGGAGTTTGAGCTGCGGCCGGTGGGAAAGATCTCTCTGGGAAAGATCACTGAGGAAGCTTACTCAGAGCATCAGGAGAGCAGCGGGGAACGGGAGCGAAAACACGGGACAGAGAGCACGATCTGGGAGAGGAACCCGGGTAGCACAAGACTCAGCCAGAAAGGAAGGAAACAGCAGAGAAAGATGAAAGATGTGAAGGGGAAGCGGAGCAAACAGTTTCATTAAAAAGCACATTTAAAAGGCTATTGACAAAGATGAAAGGGACAGTGACAAACAACAGTAAGCACTAAGGCCATTTCAAGTCACTTCAGTTTTTTTAATCAAATGGAATTTGATGCCAAAATATTGTGCAAAACCACATGATTATAACTTTAATATCAGGAGCAAGCAGAGAAGCAAACGAGGACTAAACTGGGGAAGGATGTATACAAACAAGAGTTGTGCATGTTGTAGACAGTCACACAAAATACAAAGAAAAACTTCTCCCTTCTCTCTCCCTTTACATCTATCTATTGCCATTTTCTCTTGCTAACTTTTTTCTGTTGTTCTACTGACTTCTTAGTTATGCTTGATTGCTACACTACCCTCCCCACTTCCGAATTTTCAGACATCTTGTCAACTAGAGTCTAACCAAAACCTAAAAGTGCTGAGATAAAACTTATTGTAAAAACACGATTATAGACAAAATCTTTCTAAGAAGTCATTAATTCCTAGACTACCTGGTGGAGGGGTAGGAATCTAAAACTGGCTATAAACTTGTTCTCTGTTTTACTTGCAAAACATTTGTGTTGAATTTTGAACTGGAAGAGTCCTTAATACTTTCAAATGTTAAACTGGTTCAGAACCTCTAAGCAAAACAGATCTGTAATGCTAGAAAGACTTATTAGAAAAGCATGTATTTAAATTAATTTAATTCCCACTACCTATAGTAAGATGAAAAAACTAGTGAAGTTACTTTCCTTCTCATGTACAGCACATGAGTTTTTACTTCTGCATACATCTTTAGTCCTGCAGAACAATGGGACAAGAGTGGATTACCATCTTCACAAAAAAAAAATTGAGATTAGAGTACGCACCACTTGTCGTGTCCTCACTTCAGTGCTAAAACATTCACTGTGAAATAAAAGCATTTCTGATTTTATGTTAAATACTTTGCACACAGCCAACTTACCACAGGGCGAAAGAGCATTATCTTGACCATTTTGCATAGGTACTCAAAGGGATATCAGGTAAGGTCTCAGAGGAAAATAGAAAGCCTAGAGGCAAGTATCGATGCAAAAATAGTGATCTACAAATATTTTAAGTAGATATTAGTCATATTCAATTCTATTTACTATCCCTTTGTTATATTTGAAGTTGAAGCATCTGAAATATGCAGTTTTTACAGAGTATACAGAGAAACATCAGAGATGAAACTCAGCAGGCCTAGTGGAGACCTCTGGTTACGTTACTTCTCTCTATAAAGCAAAATGTATAGAAAGATCCCTATAAAAGCCCATAAATTCAACAGCTGTGTCAAAAAATTCATGTAAGTCAGTCTTATATACACAAGAAAATACATGGTTCCACACTTCTGGCAATAGGAAGGGTGATGCCTGGCAGCAGACAGACACTGGGAGTCCCTGGCTGTGCATGCAAGGTTAGCAGAGCACGTGAGCCCTGAGCCCCAAAATCTGCACATCAGACTCACTCAGAGGTGCGGGGAGCCACGTGCTTTTGAAAAAAGCCTGGCAGGGGAAGGAAAAACTGGAGGAGCCTGGCGCTCACTTGTGTTCTGCCCCCTGAGTCAGTACAGTGCAAAGTGCTCCAGTACCTCTGCTTGCAAACTTGATCAAGGACTACAGGTATGATGTAACCAGAAAATAAAATCCAGCAGGAAGGTTAAATACCTATGAGTCTGGACAAAGGGCAGAGCACTGACTCATCACATATTCAACCAGTTGCTGGCAGAACAGGAAGACTGCAAACACAGAGCACCTTACAAGGGCCAAGATCTACACCTACAAAAATGCAGATAAGAAGGCAGTTCTCTTTATAAACTCAGTTTCCAGTGCATTCTTTAAAATTTATATTCGAAGAGATAGGGGATTAGATTCTTTGCATCCTTTATTCATTTTCAAGCATGGAAACGGATTTGAAAGAGATATACACCACATAAATAAGGACAACTCATTAAGACAGCATGCTTGATCATTCACCTTAAGAAAGGCTGAAAATTTTCAATTATTTTGTTGTGGGGTTTTGGGGATTATTTCATGCAAGCTGAAGCAATCTACAAAGTCCCTTTCCCTATTGTTTTTTTAATAAAAGGAAAAAATTCACACTTGTACACTAGAAATTCCCCATGGTACAGGGTAAGTACTTCCTAACTGTTTTTCTTCTCTCCATCCCCACTGTGTTAGTGTGTTGGCACAATGGTGGGATAACAATCACCAGATTTCAAAAACCACTGGAGGGTTTGAGATAGCTTTTAAAAATAAATAAAACTATTTAGATACAGAATAATTTTTGGTGGATAATTTATAACAGAAATTCATAAATATGATCACAATTTCCTAAAAATCTATACAAATACAAGTAACACCACTTCCCTTGTAATGCATGGATTTCAAGTAATTACACAAAGCTCCATCAGACAGCCTTTCACATACAAATTACACAAAATTAGACATGTATGCAGGGATAATGTAATGCTTCTGACTACTTAATGATCCAAAAATAATAAAAGTAATTCAAAAAAAGCTAGTTTTCAGTTTAATTGTCGGGGTGGAATGTACTGTGGGTGGTGGTTGCCTAGCAGCTGCTTTTGCTTTGCTGGCCTGACTTGCTCGGACTGCAGTTTCTAGACGTGTTTTCAATTCAGGAGCAGCTCCCATTACTGTCTTGAAAGCATGTGGGTAAAGTGGACCAATGTGCATTAGATTCTGAAGTGCAAACTCGTGAAGATCCTTAGATGCTGTAGATGCAGAAGCAAAGGCATTTTCATTCAGTAAATACGAGATCAGAGTGGGAACGAGAAGGGCAAGCAACTGTACTCCTAAAAATGAAAGGAAAAAAAAATGTAATTACCATATCAGAGAAGGAAACAAAATTACCAGCTACTAACCAGGTAAGGAAGGGTAATATTGTTTTCAGAACGGACATTAGAAACTGCAATCAAAAAATTATCAAATTAAAACAACTGAAATGTAGATGGCTTCTTGTGCTTTGATCAGTCCAATCTCTCTTACCAGGACTGGATTTAAGATTTTTATTACTGTTCATTACAGTTATGTTGATCCTGATGCTTATTTTGAGATGCTTTTGCACCATCCAATTGCAGATCATTGATGAAAGATTTTAAGATGTAGAGTGCCTATCATATTAAAGGATTCCAAAACACTTTTCAGGCAGACAGAAATGTTATTCAATTGAATTTGAGTATCCATCTCCCCAGAGAGCATAAGTGAACAGATACCAGAATGCAAGTGTTCACAAAAAAGTCAGGGACAGTTCTCTGCTGTTATTTATGTGGTACTGGTCTGGGAGATCCTAATTCAAAAACTAGCAGGGCAGCTATACTTCAGCTAGCATGACCTAGTAAGGCCACAGCCCAAAATGGCAAAAGGATCAAGAGGGTTGACCTTGAGAACAAAAAACGCAGCTAAACTTAAGCAACAAGGCAAATTTTTGTACCTAGAAAGAATTTAAGTACACCTTTGAAATGTGTAACCTGGTAATTGTACATTTTAAGCTCAAAGAACTTAAAAATTAATGGTAACTCATTTATCTAAATTGTTTTAGATTACCAAAGTATTAATTATTTTTCGTTATAGGTTGTGACTAACTCATACTCATGGAGTGAATGTCTCCAGACAGCAAATCAGATGATCTCTTTCCTCATTTGTTTCAGTTACTCTCTCATTTTCATTTCATATGTTCCAGAAGCAGAATGAGGCTCAAGAAATTTTAAATTATATCAAAAAGGAGAAAATCCAACAAGGAGTGCATTGGGGGAAAAAAACCCACAAAAACCAACCAAAAAAAAAAAAAAACCTCAAAAAACCCCTACACAAAACCAATAGTAGTATTTTTACAAGGAACTTCTTCAGCATTTGAAGTCAAATGTCAAAGACAGTAAGTCTTCAGAATGCACATTGTTTCAGTTGAAGAATAACTAAGTCAAAGATAAACTATAAAGAATGTATTCTATTTAGTGAATCTTGCTTCATCTACAATCAATATACTCTGACCAGTATAGTTCAATTTCTTGGGCTCTTTAACTTGCTGTGGTAGAAGCAATCTGATAAGAGTCTACTAAAATAATTAAAGTTAACAATGAGGAAAAGTAAATTGAAACCGCATGAAATACAAGTTTCCAAACAGAGTAAAATATCACTCATTACTGCAGTTCATGTTTAAATTTTTTTCCTGCAATCACCAGAAATGCAAAAGTTACAGCATATTATGCTGTGCAAGTTCATGCATACAAAGGTTCTAGCACTGGAATTACAAAAGCATGCAGCACACACAGTCCATTTGTGACTATGCCATCAAGTTCCTAATTGCAACATTTCTAATGTTCAATATTCTATTTTAGCATTACTCATTTCTCTAGAAAACCTAAATACTTACTATTCTGCTCCTCACCAAGGGCAACCAATGTTTCAAGGACTTTAATTCCTTCCTGGACTGCTAAAAGCTCCAGATTGTTGTTTGGCCGGCTCCTTTCCACAGCTTTCAACTTCTCAACCATGATAGGGGCCAATGAATGAATATATGGAGTTGACAGGGCACGATTGGTGTGTTGGAACACAGAAAGCAGAAGCTGGTAACACTTGGCTTGAACCTAATCAAATTAAGATAAATACATTGTCTTCAAAGTTATTTGTTAACTCAGGGAACCTAATAAACTCTGTTATCTCTGATTAAATTAAAAAAAAAAAGACTACTAAATGGGAAGGAAACATACTAAGAGGAAAGGAGCAACACAGGCTGCTAATAAATCAGTATTAGCTCAGTGTTCAATAAAAGGAAGGACAATTAGAAAGAACATGCAGGTACTAAGTAGTAGTAACAATATAAACCCTGAGAAAATAAAGACATAGTTAATGTCAGTCACACTAGTTCACAGTGAACTGCATGTTTAGGTCTCAGAACTATCAGCTCTAATAGTAGTTTTATCTTCAAAATCGTGATATGCAATTCCAATTCCAGAAGGGTAACACTCCCATAAAAATGACTCAGAACAAAGTGATCTTATTGTTCTAATACAAGCCAAGGCTGTAGCCAAAAGTGTCAGGCCTTTCCATCCTTGTTTCTCACTCTCCATTTTGTGATGGTAGTAGCCTAGGACTATATGAGCTGATCACAGAATGCTCTCCTTGTCATCCTTCTATTTTATTTTTTGTCCTCTGTCCTCTCTGTGGAAAGCAGAGATTATTGAAGCCATGGTTTGGGAAAATAACCCACTGATGATCTTGTTCAGATGAATTTATGAATACATTTTTTGGGGCATACAAAGATCTTCCTCCAAAATCCACCACAAATAACCCAGCATTTTTGAAAAGATGAAGCCTCACAACAAATATGAGGATAAAACATTGCACACGTTTTCTAAATGCACTCAAGTCCAAACAGGATGAGTTACTGAGCACATGCTGAACAGAAATGTTCTAGAGGAAATACTACTGAACAAAATGATCTGTGAGGAGATCCAGGGATTAGTGAAAACACAGATATAGAAATAAAAATATTGAATAAAAATCATAGATTATAAAAACTACTCATAAGAAAATATGAGTTATGCAGCTCGTATTACTGTTAATTCAATAGAATACAGCTGCAGGTTTTCTATACAATTCAATATTTAAGGTCTGAAATAATAACACTTCTCATATCATTTGTATGCTTTGTAACAGAGCTCCACAGAAGAACGTTTTTCCTTAATGCCTTACTCACTATCATCTCTGACCTTTTCAACAAATTTTATGTCTATCTCTCCATACTGTTACAAATAATTCTCTTCCTTTTCTGTCTTTCTTTAAACTTCATTCCTTATTAGCTGTTAAAGATGATTAACCTTTGAAATAAGGAGTAAAAGTATTTTCTCAAATGCAGCCATATTTCAAAGGAGTTTTATGACTGCATCTGACAGCAGAATTTCATCCAAATGTTTTTCCTTTGATCTGTGTAATATAAAACTTTGGACCATTGTGCATTCACAGAAGTCTACAAAAACTCCTGAAAGGTAAAATCAGAGCTTCTTCAAAGCCTAAGAGTCACACTCTCATGTAGAACTTGCCCAACAGCGTTGAAACACTTGGATCTCTCAACTGAGTTATCTTGTTGGAACAAAAGGGAATTGAGCTCACCAGACTTCTGGTTATTACTATACATGATATTTGACCTTTTCATGTGGTAATAGTTTCAAAAATATTCCTGTATTTCTTTTAAGGCATCAGTAGTTTCTTTGGAAGAGTCTTCTCCTTAATCAGTTCAATGCACTTTGTACAATCATGATCATGCTTTTATTACAAATAGGTGTCTCGTTACTGACTGCAACAAGGACTATTTTACTTTTAAAAAGCCAGAACGAACACACAAGTATTACAGAGTATCTGCTCTGCACATTGGTGAGAAGAGAGTGGACACCATCTGGCTGCTCTCCAAACTTGCTGTGTGTGTTACAAAAATAGTGGTAAGTTCCAGCTGACGGGCAGCTTTCCAGCAGGGTAGTGGGCGACCATGTACTTCTCTCTCACTGTTCATGTGTTTATACAGAGCTCAGAGAGAGTGCGACATAAAAGTTTCACTTAATACAACTGACATTTCCATTCACACAATAAAATTCTAAGTAGCTTTCCATCCAGAGTCAGACGTCAAAATCAACTGAATTTTATGTTCATGCTGGAAAACACCTGCCCTGCTATGGAGAATTATCAGTCTAAACAGGATTTTATATGCCTCACTGTGACCCTATGCGTGTTTTTCTTCTCAGGAATCCCTGCAGTGTTTGCTTCTGGAAGCATCACAGATTTTTCTCCTTAACTCCCACCTGCAGATTTGTA